AATGAGCATATTCTCCCATCCCTTCAGATTTTTTGCCCAATGAGGACAGAGGAGGATCGGAGTAGGGCTAAAATTATATTTAAGTTTCTAAAGCCCATGATGTATAAAATACTATCATACCAGATTCCAATACTTCTAAATCAAAAAGCAGTATGATGGTTGGATGCAGGAAACATAGCATTAATTGCCGATTACTGTATGTCAATCCTTGCTTACAGGCTTTCACAGAGTATCTCAGTGCATCTGCACAAGTAATCCTGCCGGGTAAAATGATCATCCTCATTTTACAAATGCAAAGACCAGGGTGCAGAAAAGTAAGGGGACATGTTCTGGGCCACAAAGCGCTATGAACTGAACTCAGGATTTGAGTCTGCCTTCTTGCTTATGAAATATCCTTTATTTCCATTCCCTTAATTTATGATAGAAGAATTTCTGTGTTATAACCCTTGACCTCTTATTTACCCCATGTTTCAATCCAACGTTGGATATTATTCATCACTATGCCGAGTAGTTTAATACTTTTGTCTCATAAAAATGCTTGCACGATGTGAACTGACATGTCTGTCTCCCAAACATTTATTTAGTGTTATTCTTAGTTCTTTATATGACTTAAATCACTTGATCTTCACAACAACCCCGTGGGGTCGATACCACTACTATCCCCAGTTTAACAGAGGAGGAAACAGGTGAACTAATTTCCCAAAGGCCATACATCTAGTGATGAAGGAGCTGAGGTTCAGCCGGAGCCTCACCTGTTGGGCTCCAATGCCTCACATCCACACTGAGTGCATAGTGGCAGGTAAGTGCCGCATTTACCAAGTTCAAGTTCACACAATGCTGCCATAGTCAACTCTTTATCTTGAGGGGTTTCATCAGCTGACAGAATGAAATATAATTGGGCCTTATTTTTTAATGTAGTTCTATCTCCTAGTTGTGTTTGCTCTGCATCAACTCTTTTCATTGCTCTCCAAACATCTAATCTAGAGACCCAGGCACCACAATAAATATAATGATGAACATCAAAATGCTGGTTCCTGGACCCTCTCCAAATTCCAACTTCCTTCTGCTTTCTTCAAACTGCCTCATGAGTTGGCTTCTTTCACCTGTTGATACATTTGGCTTTGCGCCTTGGCTCCTCCTTCCCACCTCACGTCATTTGCCATTGGTGCCATTCTTTCACTCTGCTTTCCTCCAGGGAGAGCTGGCCATTCCATGGCTCCACCTCTAGCCATTACTCTGCTGCACCTACGGGCCGAAGGCCCCATGTTGCCACTTCTCCAGACTCTCAAGACCCCCCAAGCATCAACTGTACTCCTAAGCCCAACCCATCAGAGAGGAGCATAAGGAAATGTGGGCAGTTCATCTGTTCTGACACAAGACTCAGAGACATAGGGGTTTGTACCCATAATTTACCTATTATCTACAGCATCTCCAATTCACTCTAACTTGCATCAACCTCTAGCATGAGTGATTAGAAGTGATATTCACTTTCATATGTTTTTCTTCAATTACTAATTCTAACAAATGGAAATCACTGAATATTTATGTAGCATATCTCAAGTTCTCTCACAAAAGAAACTGATATGTTTAACTTAAATGACCATATGCATATCTTACAGATATTTCAACATCTGGCCCTACTTTGCAAAGGCTTAGTTTTTCAAGTTACACCAGAAGGAATGCATTTAAAAACATAAGGTCATGGATATCTACAAGAAAACCACATCAGTGGGACCGTTAAAATTTTGCTTAAGTAAACATTAGAAATGTGACAAATTGCTAATTTCCTATGAAGGATTGTAAAATTCTGAGAACTCTGGGTTGTGGGTAGAGGGAAGAGTAGAAAGAGGAACAGCTCCCTAACCTCAGAGCCTACTCCTGCTGTCTAGATTTTGAATAAAAAGGTGTTGCCTGTTGGCTGAGAAGTTATTTGTTTTTACAACTGTTGCTGTTGCCCAAAGACTGCATTTCAAGAGGCTGACACAGAGATTGTAGATCCCACCACTGTGCTAATGATAAGAAAAAGGATTTTAGCCCAGAGAAGTTGTTAGACATATTTAACCAAAATCTCCAGCATCAGATTTTGTTTTCATTATCAGAACACCAAAGAGATCATGGAAACCATAAAATAGAGTTTCCCAGAAAAGCAATAGCAACATCGAGGAACAGCATGACACAGATATGTAAAACTCTTTGAACTCCAATCTTAAATAATGCTAAATCTACTCATTTCTTAGACTTATCATTGTGGTTTACAACTCAGATCTATTCCAAATTCCTGGTCACCTACTTAATGAAACACTGATGTCTGATATATTCACTTTGTATGTTGTATTTTAACTGTTTTATAATTTCATAATGAGGATTGCTACTGGTTTGGGTACTTTGGGACATGTTATTAAAATATGAGCTATGAATTTATTAGCATATTCAGACCGGTTTGTCTAAATGGGCTACATATATTCTGTAATATAAAAGACAAAAGTTTTTCAAAAAGGGTATCAGGACTTTTTGGAGAAGTGGCTGAGTCCAAATCTGGGGCAAGAAATAGGGAAGTGAGCCTGAAACAGCTTGTCATACCAGAGAGTGAAGAAGTTATCAAAGTTCTTAGGATCATGTCAAAAGAACTCAGGAGCCAAAGATGCTCCTACTGGCCAAAGATGGAATAAATTGCACACCAATGAGAATGAACTCTGATAGCATTTAAATTTATTATTTCATAGCATATTTAAAGAAATACCTGCTTACCACTATTGTATGATACCAAAAACTTAACTCTTCATTTTGAAATATGCTAACTAAAGAGTAAGAAACATTTATGCTGCCCCTGAAAATAAAAACTGGGTACCACTGGTACCCAATCAGTAAATGATGAATTTCTCCTTATTGATAGTAGTATAGTCAATAAATAAAGGAAAAAAATAATAGAAATGGAGTATCATTGATTTGAAATTCTTAAGCAACTAAGGATTTAGGTTCTTGAGCATCAGTGGTTACAAACATCATAAAAAGCGATATGGTCAGATATCATGTGCTTCCTGATGAAAGAACACAGTATCATTCATAGAGCAGTTGTGTCGGCCAGAAAGGATAACCTGAAACTTTTCAAGTTGCCAGATGCGACTACTAAATCAGAGAAAATACAGAAGATGGGGGAACATGTAAAATGATACCATAGGTATGAAAATAGCAAAATCTAGACTGTGAAAATTGTGACAACATGCACCAGTACATAAAAAAAAAGAGAGAGAGAGAAAGATGGAGGGATAGCCTAAAGATGAAAATTGACATAAGATACATTAATGTGTGGGCCTCAGTTGGATTCTGATGTAAACAGGAACATTTATGAGGCAATGGGAAATCTGAGCCCTGGATTGGATATTTGATAGTCCAGTAAGAAATTCTTAATAAGTTTTTAGTATGATAATGACAACGTGGTCACATTTTTAAAGAAGAATTATCTTTTAGAGATATACACTGAAATATTTACAGATGAAATGATATATCCTAGATTTGCTTCAAAACAATGTGGAGCGGGGACGGTGGAGGAGAGTATGTGTAGGGCAGGGCTGACCATGGATTCATGGCTACCCGGCCGGACGATGGGGCCAGCTGCCCGTCCTGTCCTGTCAGTGTTTCAAGTTCTCCACAATAAAAAGCCAAAATCAAAATCAACCAAAGTACACAGGCATTTCTTTGTTTATATTCTACTCTCAATGTTGAACCAATTTTAACTATTCAAGGGAAGAAATTTATCAGAACTAACTTTAGTAAAATGGCATATATTCATGAGCTTCATTTAATATTTGCAAAGGTGGCCTGGTTTTCTAGAGAAAAGAGAAAATACAAAGGACAGACCTTCTTTATTTTATTTTATTTTATATTTTATTTAATTTTATTTTATTTTATCTATTTACTCCTTTCACCCACATATCACCTGTACTCATTAGGGCTACTAGACACTGAATGGAAAGTCATGTTATACACTAAGACTGTATTCTTGTAGTTATGTTTAATTATGTACATAATTATTTTAATAGAACAGAAATTTACCAATATTTAGATACCAGCTACCTATTTACTAGAGGCAACCAGGTAAGAAATTAAACCATAAGTCTCTCCTGCTTCTACTGCATAAGCCAGTTTTAAATCAGTATACAAAATGATTTTTCCTTTTAAACAATCTAAAATTGCCCCACATATACTAAAAATAATAATGTCAGTTTTCCAACATCCCTGCCTGCCCTTTACCTTATTGTATGTCCAGATCTTATTTTTCCATTTTCCAGTGTTAGGTTCCATTTATCAATTTATTTGCTATGTCTTATGTTAACAGGCTTTTAAGGGAAACACAAGAACTTGTTAAAATACAGGACCTGTTGATCAAAAGGTGCGGTGATGACACATCAAAATCCTCACTTTTAATTGCTGATACAAACCTAGTAGCTTAGTTTAATCTTTTCACAATGAATATGCTTTTACTGTTTCCCTCTCAACCTCTTTATGAACCATTGTTTCTTCTTCGGGTCTCTGAAGATAATCCACCTCTCAGATCTTTATCTTTTGACACCCCACCATCCACCTGTTTCAAACCCAGATGTAAAGGTTAGGACTCAGGGACTCCGGCTCCATCCGGATGGAATCAGATAGGAATTTTCCCACGGGGTCCTAAAACTAGGGAGGCCTGCACGATATACAACTAAGAATAATTGTCCTTTAATTAAGGGGTATTTTTTCCTCTGTGACTGTTTTGCAACAATATCAAAACATTTATAAAATGTTTATCCTCACAGATCCTGAGGTGCACTTTTTCGAGACACTGGCTCCTTTTCAATTACCGAAATAACCAAAGAAAGAACAAACAAATCCAAACAAGTAAATGGAAAATACATTTTTCTCCTCCTCCTATTTCTCTAGTGCAGAGTCTGTTCTCGTTTATGATATTTATATCAAGATCCCCTTTCTTGCATAAAATTGATAATTAAAAGAAAAACACTTACCCAGAACAAGAAGTTGAAGATAAACATAGAATATTTTACACAGCCACTCACACCTGCCATGTCGGCAAAGGATCAGGAATCCAGATGCTGTGAATTTAACTGTTCGTTACAGGATTGTCCTGCAATGTGCTCTGGAGTAATTTGCCTGCAGAGATTTCTGTGCCCAAGGCTTTAGAGCAGAAATAGAAAGCAAAGAAGTGGGGAGGGGGGGTGGGGGGGTAATCTAGTTATTAAAGTGGACAAAAAATTAACCCGAACATTTAAATATCTCAAGGGCTATCTGGAGACGAGCATGTCCTTTTGCTTGTCATGGCTTCTGGGGCACTGGGCCAGGATATTTATGATCCTTTCTCAAAAACTGCCTCCTCCAAAGTAAACAGATATCGGGTTTAGGGAGTGGCACTGAACCTGGGAGAGAATGGCACAGCGATAGCAGGTTGTTAGGTTTCAGAAACCACAGCCTGCTTTGCTTGCCCTCTATTTCAACTATAGGGAAGGAAATGAGATTGTTTCTTTCTGAGATAAAGGGACATTGTGTCTCAACTCAGTTTTGATCTGCATTTTCTTAAGAATGCAAAACTTCTTTCAGATGAAATAAAATGCATTTAGAAATCTGCCAAATCTGAGGGCTTAGACATAGGAACCTTTTATCGTTAACCCCAGGATAGTGGTAACAACCATGACATGTACCTGCCTTCCAACGTCTCTAAATTTATTTCAAAACAATTTCATGGAGCCGCCATAAATCCAGAGCAGTTGGGGGTGGTAGAGAGGGAGAGGCTCCCCTGCCTATCATAAGACCTTTCAGCCTTTATCTTTATTTCTTTATGATGTAAGAGGAAAAAATGATCAGGAGTCACTCTCTGACTACGCTTATTGAGTTCATTTTATCACATATAGCCTTTTTGATAGTTCAGTTTAGTTTTAAGGCGGATACCGTAGAGGGGGGACCCAACAAGAGCTGGGATTTGTTTATAAAAAAATTGCGTATTTATTCTGACATGTTTAAACTTCAGTCACCTCAAAGTACTCCCCAATCGATGCAATACACCTACTGAAATGTTTTTCCCACTGCTCAAAACAGTTTTTGAACACCTTGATTTTGATGTTTTTTAGTGCTTCTGCCGTTTTTTGTTTCACCTTTTCCACATCAGCAAAAGGTTTCCCTTTGACAGCTTTTTTCATCCAGGGAAACAAACAAACAAAAAAAAAGCTGAGGGGGATGAGATTAGGTGAACAGGGAGGGCGGGACATGGGGGTCATGCCATTTTTGGTCAAAGACCGCTGAACACCTAGCACGGGTGTGGGCAGGTGCGCTCATACATCACCCAACATGAAATGGGCAAACGCCTCGAAAGAGTCTTCAAAAAAAATTCACTAAAACTGAATGCAGCCTCTCACAACACCACCAGGTGCTACACTGATACAGATGGGTTCCTAGAACACTCACCTAGCGGAGGGAAGCCTGTGCTACAAGGGGCCCACCCTCCAGAAGGTAATTCCGGTTATTTTTGGTTCCCCCTCACACTTCCATCCTCTGTTCAGTTATGTCTAGCAAAGCTCCTCCCTCACCACCGACTCAATTTCTGGATTCCTGATCTTTTGGACAAAAAAATTCAAAACAAGAAGGTGGTCATAGTTCAGTGACCATAGATTGTACAGTTTGTTTCCAGTACTAATAGAAGGCAGCTGTTGCAGGTAAAAGCAAAATTCCCTGACCTAATTAGGGAGGTGTGGACTGCTTTTGTGTAAACAGTTTGGGTCATGCTAGTCTCCACATCCTGCCTCTCAAAAGAGGAGAGTTTTTTCCTTGAAATAAAAGAACCCTGAACTTCAAAAAGATTTTTGGAAAAAATAATTCTTTAAAATCATTGTTAAGTTCTATACAATAAGCAAGCTTGAACTTTTAAAAAGTTTGAATAGTTAAAAGAATATTTTTCTAATATTTACTGACATACAAAGATGCTTTTGAAATAATTCCACTACTGGACTATAAATATAGTATGTTTTTAACGTATTGGCAGCAATAATATTTTGTGTTAAGGCCAAATTTAGAACTAATTCAAAAAATAATTGCTTAATATTTAAATCACTAAAATTGTGGAGGTTCTGTACTGTTTCCTCCTAGAAAATGGAAATCTTTGAAATTTCCACTGAGATATTAGTGTATATAGGATTATCCATGGCTAAAAAAAGAGTTTTTGACCAAATGAAAAATCAAATGAATTCATAGCCCCAAAAATAATTATTTACCAAAAGAAATACACAGATTAAATTACTGTTTTGTTGACAAGCATGCATTCAGTCGGTACCTACCAAATTTCAGTTTGGAATTGTTTTTTCGTAGATGCTGAATCTCCTTTAAAAAAAGAATACAATCTTTAGTTCAAATCATTATTGACCTCTGAGGCACAAAAATCAATGGATGCATTTTTACAGGAAAAGTACTCTGTGTACTAGACTCCCCAGTGCAATTCAAAGTCTATATGAAACAGTTCATTCCTCTATATTCCTACCCTCTACTCCTCTTTATCAGAATATTCCTACTCTTCTATATCAAAAGTTTGATATAAGACACGTTTTCCCAAGCTAAATACTGTAGTCATTTTGCATTTTTTCTTTCTCGTCTCATATCTAATCACTTCACACAATCTGTTGAGCTTCTAAATGTCCTTCAAATCTGTTTCCTCCACCTCATTCTTTTACCACTGTCATTATTCAGCTTTTTCTCATCTCTTATGTGAACCATTTTTTAAAAGATTTTATTTATTTACTTCTTAGAGAGGGAAAAAGGGAGGAAGAAAGAGAGGGAAAGAAAGATCAACATGTGAGAGATAATTCAATTGGTTGCTTCCTGCACACTCCCAACTGGGGAACTTGGTCCACAACCCAGGCATGTGCCCTGAGTGGGAATTGAACCTGTAACCTTTTGGTTCACAGGCCACCACTCAATCGACTGAGCACACTAGCCAGGGCATGTGAACCATTTTAATAGTATCATAATTAGTATCTCTGTCAGTTTCTTGTCCTTCCTATTTGCCCTAGCACTCTAGAATTTTTCTCTCGGTACTCTAGAATTTTCTCTTTTTATTTCCCTAATTCTCTTAGTAAAATACTTATAGATCATGTAATTCCCCTGATTAAAAACTAAGCTAAAACTTTTTCCTGTTACCTACCTGGTAAATGTCAGACTCCGCAGAGTGACACTTGAGGCACACGGCAAGCAGACCACTGCTCATCTCCCAGCGCTCTCCCTGCTCCCTTCGCCCTAGGCAGCCTCCACTCCCTGACTCCCTAATCATAAAACTATTTCACAGGACTGGAATAGACCTTGGTATTTTATGCACCTATGCATGCTGTTCCTTCTTCTTGGAATATTCTTTCACACCTTCCCTACCGGGTGAAACACCTGGTGGAAGAAATTGCCATCCTTCATAACACTGATTTTTCTTTCTTCCCTGTTTGATATTTTCTGTCTGAAAGACCAAGATCCTGACCCATTTATCTCTATACCTATAGCAGCTGGTATTGGAGATAAAGGGATGTGTAATTGTAGCCAAGTTTCTCAGTTCAACTAAAGTTTCCTTCATAAAGTTCTAGGGAAACTAACAATGTGTTACCCCTCCCCCTTAAGAAAAGTAAATTATCAGGTAAAGAAAAAGTTTTTTAATTCAGGACTTGTCAAAACTTTAAGTTGCTAATATTTAAGAAGGTGGCAAAGTACATAGCAATTCCCAAAAGAATGTGACCCCAGAACATATTTTTGAAAGACTTATCCTTGGACCAGTGTTGCAGCACTTACTTATAGAAACATTAACCTAGACAAACCCTCATATTTTATACTTGAGAAAAGAAGCTCAGAGAGATTCAGTAGCCCAAGGTTACAAAATTGGGTTTTGTTAGAGTTCTTCCTAGAAATGAGGTCTCATGATGATCAGATCAGTATCCTCTCCATTTGCATCAACTCTTGAATTATGTACTAACATCATGGGTCTGTTATTAAAATTTTCTTGAGAAATTGTTTTAGAACAGATATTTCACAGTAGAGGGTGGGAGTATGGAGGGGTTGGGGAGTGTCTGTGATAAATCTTAGACCCAGGGAAAGACCAGGACAGGAAGGAGAGGGAGTAGAGAGTGGGATACCACAAAAAATAACAACTGAGGGAAAGGGCAGAAGGAAAGTTGCAATAAATTTAGATAAAATTTTCCTAATGTTGTCGTCATGTCAATTATTATCACTCATTTGAATGCACAGGGTCAAGCAGGATGAGGGTTCAAATCTGATTAATCATACGCTCCAAGAGAGAGTCATATTGCGCTCAGAGTAGAGGAAAGGGCATGAATAAACCATCAGATTCCGTATGTAAAACATGGCATTATCTCTAGGTCATCAAGCAAACAGGCCTATCCATGGGACTTGAACCAGAAAACAGGCACAGCTAGTCGTTCATATTTTCATCTTGATATCATGTTTCCCTCTACAAGATACACCCAACAATTTATTCAACAAATGTACTGAATGCCTACTATATTCAAGGCACTATACTAGTTGCTAGAGACATAGCAGTTTAAAAAACAAGATAAAAATCTTTGCCTCATTAGGGATTTTATTTTACACACACACACACACACACACACACACACACACACACACATTGGGTAACTAAATTTCAGAAACAAAAATAAAACAAGGAAGATTTTGTTTCCAAAATCCAGTTACTCAATATATTGGTCAGTGGAGTAGGTATTAAAAAAACAAATCATGTGTTTTAGAGAAAAGATTATATTCTCTTTTACTTTATGTATTCTCCCATTATTACTGTCACAGAAACAAGGTTTTTTAAGGCACTATGAATATTCCATTCATTTTTTTCAAAGGATGGTAGCAGTAGCAACAAAAATGATGCTGAAGTTTCTTTTCCTTATGACTGTACTTAGGTTATGAGATCATGAGGTCATGCATTCTAAACAATGAGTGAAGAGAAAGTTTTGGTACTCTTTAGCATTTCTCATTTTGAAAAACCATTGTCTTATTTTTGGAAAATTGAGGTTATGGGTTTATGGCTTTTATGACCATTTTTATAGGGTCCGAGCCTTGCTCTTGTCCTCTAGTTCAATTCCAGCATTCCTGAGACCAACATTCTTCTTATGCCTTCATTTGAACACATGGTCTATGATTTCTACCCT